AGCTAAAATAATAGATTTTCTAACCTATTTTTATTCTGTCCATTAGGGTTTAATATATTATTATTATGAAATCCTCCACGAAAGTTAGATATGAACATTGTTTACTCCATATAGGAGTTTCAACAATTGTTCGGATTCCCACTTTCTTTTTATAATACAATGAAGTGGCTGATACTAAATGTATCCCCTTTTCCTCTTTATTTTAATAAAGCTACTAAGGAGCCTCATTCTTCACATGTAAAATAATATTGGAATCGATTCATGATTTGTATATTGCCGATAGTTGCTTCGGCTCAAACTTTAGAGTTTTTTCTAAGGTAATATATTTATCAATGTTTATTTTATAATTTTCATTTAATATGTTGCCGGTAATTTCTTCGGCTGGCGCTTTAGGATTTTTTATCCCAAGGAGGTATCTTTATATATTTTATATAATTATTTCTTGTATTGCCGGTAAATTCTTCGGCTGGCGCCTTAGGATATTCTTTATCCCAAGGTGGATACCTTTATATTTATATATATATTTCTTTTATATATTTTTTATATCGATATTTTCCTTTTATTTTTATTTATTTTTACTTTTTTCCGGTATTGTCATCGGCTGGCTTTCCAGGCTTGTTTTGTCCCGGAATATTATTTAATTTATTTAATTTTGAGTCGTTGGGGAAAGTCGGTAAACTTCAGTCGTTGTCATGTGTTTTCGTTTAAGAACTTTATTTTTCATCATATTATTTATTTTATGTTGTATATATACTTATTTTTTGATTTTAATTTTGTTGAAACTCTTTATTAATAATAATTAGTTCAATTATGTTATTAAAATTCTGATTTTATTTAAATATATTTATTTTGTCTACAAACATTTTTCATATATTATAATAATATATATTATTGATTATTATATTATTTTTCTTCTTTATTTTATTATTATCATAAGTTTGCTTTTAATTGTGAGAATTATTAGAGACTTTTTATTAAATAATTAATTTTATAGTATTTACAATGGTTGCATTTCTAAATATTATATTTTTTTAATGTGTATTAAGTAGTTTATTGTTGAAATTTTATTATTTATTGACTTTAAATAATTACTGTTGTTATTTTTCTTATTATTTTATATTATTCAAAACGATGTTATAAAATGTTTATTATTATTTTTTAATTTCTAATTTTCTGCATAGTGGTTAATCTAAACTAAGAGATTGTTGTACTTGTATTATATTTTCCATTCAATATTTATTTTTAAAGTTTAATTCAATCTTAACTTCTATTAGAATTTTATTTTGGAATTTTTACATAATTTATGCAAAAATTAGTCATGTAGGGTGATATGAAATTAATATCAAATATGTGTATAACATATTTAGTGGTGTAATACATATTTTTTATTTAGTATTATTAAATTGTGTTCGGGTTTTCCTTTTAGAGTTATGTTTGGAAAAATCTAATATATATATGTTTATATATGTTTAAGTAACAACACGAATATGTTTTTAGTGGGAAATTAAAATATTTATATTACGTTTTATTTCTTTTTATATATAATATACGTGTAAACTATTATTGAAGTACCCAAGTTCATCTTTACTTGTGTAATATTACTTTTAATTTTTATACTTATTATGAGGTATAATTATAATAGCTAAATTATAGTTTATAATTGCTAAATAATAAATTTTTATAACTTCTATAAACAATATTCTTCATTTTATTAACAATTTTTATAATTAATAAGTCATTTGTAATTTTGTATTTTTTTATAATTTTCTATCACTAAAAAGTGAATTAATTTAAAAAATAATATTACTTCAATGAGTTAAATTTATTCATTGCTTAAAATCTATTGGATATATTTCCTCAAAACTTTAAATAGACTTATGTATTTTTTTATATTAAGTTTTAAAAATTTTTTATAGTTCTAAACCGTTTTTCCTCATTATTAGGGAAAATTGCTACAAAATTTAATATCTATAGAAAAATGTTTATCAATTATGAAATATATATATTGTATTTGTAGGTATTAAACATCGATAATAAAAATTTGTTGCGAATGATTAGAATGTGTTTTAAATTTTTTGTAATACTTTATACATATAATTATTTTAAAATGTATATTGAAAATTTCAAAAATTTAGTTTGAAAACTTTAATTTATTTGTATGATTATTATATTTTTTATAATATTTTATTAATCTAAATGTACTAAGGTATTATTAAAAATTGTTAATTTCTTGCAAAAAATATATTTTCTGTAATATTAATACTATTAATACTTGAAAGAAATTTATTTAAAATTTGTTAATTTACTATTAAATATTTCTTGAAACTTTTACAAAACTTATTGCTTTTTTTTCAATATTAGGGAAATTTGGTTATTGATAATATAAAAAGGAAAAATACCTCCACCAATTCGTTCAGAAATGTGGCAAATGGTGATGATGTTGGGTTGTTGTAAGGTCTTATAGTTTTCACCTGTAGTCCATCTGTGGTGTTATTTTATTTGTTGTTGAATTCGGTTTCTTTGCGATGCACATTAGTTGTTGTAGACGCTTTCCGTTTTTATTATACAGTAGGTTTTTTATGAAAATGTTTTCTATTTTGTCATAATTTTATTTTGTATCAGTTTATTATTTATTTTTAGTTCGCGAATATTTTCGTTTTTCTAGTCGTATCATATAATAAGTTTTTTATATTATTATTTTTTAATTATTAATTTTAGTTTTCCCAGGAATGGTTGTAAATACTTTTTTAATTGTTTTGAGTTCTTTGTTCTTGCGGATATGACTCGCAAGTTATACGATTTGTTTTTTATTAGTTTGGACGACTTGGGTTTGAGAAGGCTTCAAAAAACCTTGCGACGCTCGAAGCCAATGGCTGGTTTCGGCGAGCGTCCGGATCAGTTCCGGGACCATAGACATTCACCAATTGTCGATGTGCCTTAGCGGCAGCTGACCGCTTCCGTAGTTGCTCTAGGACGGCTTTGTGATCATCGTCTAAATTTCGATTCTCCCGATCGGTTGATTCCTGTATCAGCAGTTAAATCCTGCGGGCTTCCTCGTCGCTTATGATTCCTCCCATCCTGAGTTATGTGTTATTATTTTTTCTCCTCGTCGTGAGGGTGCTTATTATATTTTTTAAAATTTCTTCTCCTCTTTTATGAGGATACTTGATTGTTGATGGTTGGGTTCACTGCTTCCCTGTATACCTTGGATTCGGTTCAGGTTGACAGTTTACGAATAATTTATTTCAAGTGGCTGATTATATTAAGTCACTTTCTTGTTAAATTATTTTAATGTCTTGTAATTAGTGTTTATGACCGTGCGATTGAATTTGGCTTTTTTGTGATATAACTTTTTTAGATTACTTTTAATTTTTCACCACTTTGTTATTCACTTTATAATCCACCAAATATTTTATTCAAATAACACTTCGATCACTTTTTTCAATGCCCACGTTTTATTTTCTCCTTTTTTGGATATTTGTTAGTTTTCAATCTACTGCAAACACATTTGTTATCGGGTGCTATATATTGCAGGGATTTTTTATTTTTTTCTTTGACACACGCGAAATCTCTTTTTATTTATTCGAGATTTTTTTCCGGTGTCCCTGCTCGGGCGCCAATTAATTATATTGTAATTACGGTTGTATTAAAAAATATATTTATTTATTATTCGACGGAATTCACATACGTTTATACATCACATTTATTTAACTCAGATATTTAAATTTATCTACTAAGTATACCCCAGTCGATGTGCGTGGCTTATTGGTCAAACAACTGATAGTGCCTATAATTATTTATGCCGCGTTGGTGTACTCTAAACTTGACTGTGAGTCCCTTGTTAATTTGAGAGCTGTAGTAAACTGTAGTACTAGATACCTTTACGGTCTTAAATGGTTTGATCATCTAATAGTTTATAGGAATGCCATTCTGGGCTGTGACGTTGAGCAGTATTTAAATATTCGAATCTGCTTATTCGTTTAAATTGAAAACTACTAAATATCCGGAGTACCTTTATAATTACTTGCAGCCTACTCGTTCCAACAGATCTCTTCTTTTCATAATTCCACGATTTATGTTAATTTTGTTGCTACCACCAGGTTTTTCTTTATTCATTCAGTCCGATTATGGAACGCTCTGCCAAGCTCAACCCGAAATGCATGTAATCTTAGAGTTTTTAAAAAGTTATTGTTAACTAACCTAATTTAAATATATAATTTTTATTTTAAATTCAATGTTAATTTCAATTTAATTTCTATATTTATTTATCATTATATAATAATATTAATTTGAATTTGTAGCACACTAATATTTCAACACAATTATATTATATTTTCTAATTTTTGTAATTTCTAAATAAATTATAATTAAATGAATATATTGTTAGCTTTTAAGTTAGTTTTTAAGATAGTGCAATAAAATGCATGTACTTAATTATTTTAAATAAAAATAAAAGAGAATAATAAAGAAAATTAGCAGGAAGCCAGAAAACCGGCATTAAAACGAATGGTTTTCTGTCTAATATGAATAAATCTGCACTTCAATTAAAATGGATAGTTATTCCAAATTCAGCTAAGGAAATTGCATGTGATGTATCATCATCTCGTGTGCGTCCTTTTGTAACTGTACAGTTCAGACAACGCGTCTTTAATTCAATACATAATTTGACATATGCTGGTCGGCGAGCCACTATTAAGCAAATAGCAGAGCATGTCGTATGGCCAGGCATGGCTAAAGACATTGCGGAGCGAGATAAATTATCTCTTCCATGCCAACGAGCAAAAGTCACGCAACATAACAGATCAACGATTTTGAATTTTGACATTCGGAGTAAGCGGTTCGCTGTAATTCACATTGACCTCATTGGGCCTCTACTATCGTCAAACGGTTACCGATATTGTCTTACATATATCAATCGGTTTACCAGATGGTCAGCGGTAGTCCCTATCGGGGATATACAACCCAGCACGGTGGCCACAGCAGTTATCAATGGTTGAATCATGCACTTTGGCGTTCCGAAGCAGATCATAACAGATCAAGGAAGACAGTTCGAGTCAGCACTGTTTAATGAATTAGCGAAACTCATTGGTGCCAAACATATCCGAACTAGTCCACGTCATCCTCAAGCAAATGGTTTGATTGAACGTTTTCATCGGACTCTGAAAACTGCAATGAAATGTAAGCATGAACATCAATGGTCTGATGCAATACCTTTGATTGTGTTAGCGCTTCGAAATATCTTTAAAGACCACAAAGTAACTCCTGCAGAAATGGTATATGGGACAACTCTGCGGTTGCCGAGCGATTTTCTGGAGCAAGGTAATAATGACAAAATTCCAAAACACGAGTTCGTAGAACATATGAGACAGATGATGTCCCAAATACGACCAGGTCCCACAAAAGAAAAGGTATTCTTACAGAAGGAATTGCAACATGCTACTCACGTTTTTTTGAAGGATGATAGTGTCCGCCCACCATTAAAAACACCGCCATTTAAGGCTACGAGGCGTTCAGACAAGATGTATGATCTACTAATCAAAGACAAACCGGTGCGGGTGAGTGTTGATCGAGTAAAGGCAGCATTTTTATCAAGCGACTATGAAGACATAAGCCTATCACATACAGAAACTATGGCAGATAATCGAATGGATACCAAACCCAATAATGTAACACGAAGGGGATGACTAGTGCAGGTTCCAAGAAGATACATTAAATTCGACTTAACGTGACATCGCGCCTGACTCAGTCACTGCTAGGGGAGTGGTGTGGCGGTTGCATATTCATCATTTAATATTGGAAATAATATGAGTTGGCCATGCAAACATGAAAAATTAAAATATTGAAAATGAGATGAGTTGGCTAGGCAGAAGAATTTGTAAAAAGCTAAGAATATTTATATTTAGAAAAAAATGATTGTCATTCAATTGCCATTCATACACGTATAATTATTTTACTCGAAATTGAATTATTTTAAGAAAACAAATAAACAATTGAATTAAGTAGGGCAAAGCCTACAAGTAATAGCATAAGTTCTCCGTTTTAAAACTTGAATGAAAAGTGAATACATTTCTGCTACAGAGCTCAACAATGCCCTTCATAAAGTAGTGTGGTTAATTCAACAGTACAGATTTAGTAGTAAATTAAGCAATTGGAAAAGGTGGTTCATGTAAAACGTACTTTAGCCACATTAGCGTCATTCATTGATAAAAGCGGAGATTGTTTCTTACTACGTGTAGGAGCTCGTCGAACAAATTCTGATACTCCAAAAACATTTAAACATCAATTGTTGTTGAAAGACGAACCATTCGTTCGAAATCTGCTAATATACTTTCATCGAGTTAACTGCCGAGGGTAATACACTGTGACAATGCGACAAATTTTGTGGGTGCTGAAACAAAATTTAAAGAACTTCGACATCAGTTTCATCAAGATTCTATGAAGAATGCAATTATATCTCACTGTGCAAATTTGGAGATAGAATTTTCATTTATTCCTCCTCGCGGCCCACTTATTGGGGATTTATGGGAGGCTGCTGTAAAAACTGCTAAAGGCCATCTATATCGCACACTGTCTAATGCTCATCTCACGTTGGAAGAACTTACGACAGCATTAATCGAAATTGAATCAATCATGAACACTTAACCGCTCACAGCAACGTCAACAAACCCCAATGAACCTCTGACGCCCGCGCATTTTTAAAATGGCATGTCATTACAAAGTATTTCTGAGCCTTTTTTAAAGAACGAAAACATCGCACGTGTCCAACGCTGGCAACAATTATCTGTAGCAAAATCACACCTTTGGAAGTGATGGTAAAGCGAATATATGGCAGACTTGCAGAATCAATATCGTTGGAAATATGATCAAGATAACGCTGCAATTGGCAGCTTGGTATCATTTATGATGGGCACGCTCCCCCGATGAAATGGGTCAACAAGCAGGCATCTGCTTGCTAAGAATTGCCTTGATAATGCAAAAGCGAGTGATGGCGTTGCTTACAAAATCGGCATGTATATTTTGTTGGGCATTGTGAAACGAAGTGACCTTTTACTAGACAGTTATTATACAGCTTCTGTTGATTTATGTAGTTAACGCGTTGACGATAGCGCAGTGCTATAAATTCTAGACATTTTGAGATGTTGAGTCCGACCTTTGAACAATAATTGCAAACAACCTTAAACTCAGACTTCCTGGCCATGGAATATCGCTTTGACGTTGAATCAGATTCTAACGATTGACTTCCTGCATTAGGTTTGATATTAGTTTCCAACAGTTGGCAGCAAGCATAGAGCAGCTTTGAGCCCAAGTTGGTAGCTTCAAATAATCCAGACTTTCGTTCCACTTGATTCAAGTGAGTTGTAGAGCGCTGAAACAGTGTTAACAACATAACGTAGTTGTTTTGCTTCAACCTTTTCAGCTGTTTCAATTGAAAAATTTAAAAATATATTTTCTAAGAATATTAGTGCATCAATATCATAGCACTCCTTAAACCGGTCAAGAGCCTTTTGATAATTCTCTTTGGTAACTTGGAATGCTTTTATTGTTGCGAGTGCATCATCGATTAAACAGGACAATAGAAAGTTAAATTTCTCAATCACCAGAATATGTGATTCATTGTTCACTAAATTGTTAAATGAATTGATGAAATTTTTTAATACAAATAATTTTTATTGGAACCTGGTAACCGAAGATTCGGTAAGCGATTTGAAGACAGTGAAATAGGCAAGCTTGTGTTGAATGTTGTATCATGTACACTTTACCTACGATTATGGCCCAATCGCGTTAATAAACTTGTTTTCGCCACCACATACAGCTCATCAATTTCAGCCCGACCAGCATCTGAAGGCATCAATTTTTCAATTTGAGACTGATAATATCCTGCTTGCTTCTAATATGATTCAATTAATCCCATTCAACATTCCGGTTCAACAGCAGATAATTAAGGTCTGAATGTACAACATTTTTAATGCGTGTAATGCTTCTTTTTGTTGATGCACGTTGAGTTGTATACTCTTCAATTGTAGGTGTCTGTTGTTCAGTTACACCTGTTCGAGTTGATGTTCACGAAGTATTATCATCTGGATTTTTCATTGTATGGAAAACTTGCGAAAATAAGTTGAAGAGACGTCAAAACACGTTGATGTGTTGTAATTTGCGTTTATAAATTAAATGTAACCTTGCAAATACATTGACCGAAGAACGTTTGAACAGCAAAGCGTTAGCATCAACGAATATCATATGTACATCGTGTAATATATTAGGGGTATTCAGGCAACTGATTAGTTGCTTAGTAGTTGGTTACAACAAAAATTTGCATACAAAAAAGAAACTAAGCAGAGAATCTACTATTTCGGAGATTCTCAGATTAGTGAAAATTTAATTAATAGTGCTGCCAGTATCAAGTGTCGGCGCTATGAGCATAGGGTGTCTTAAAAAGGAAATGCAAAAATAATAACATAAATTAATAAATAAAATTCAATAAAACTATAATTTTTAACGGGTTAAAATATAATTAAAAAGTATAAAATTGAATATTCTACTTCTTGATATATGACACGTTTGCAATTTTAGTTATATGATAAATTATATGATAAATTTAAATGATATTAAAATTTACGAATATTTGAGTATTTCACTGTTAACGTTTCGCTTGTGCCGTTAATACGAGTGCTGCCAAGACATTTGCACACAACAAATTAATCAGATTACGCATTTTGATCGTTCAACTGATTAACATGAAAATCCTACTTTTTTTTATATGAAGTTTTTTAATCAACTAAGCAACTAATCAGTTGCCTGAATACCCCTATTGTATAATATTATTATTTATATAACCGAATGAATTGATATTATCGCATTTATTATAATCTCACCGTAAACGATGACTTTTTTTTATTAACTACGGGATTTGTTAATGATACATCAAATTGATAATTGTTCTGCAAGTTATTTTTTTTTTCTTTTTACAAAATTTTATTTCCAAAAATCTATTTTATGTTATCGTTTTTAATTAACAATTTAAATAATTTTTTGGGTTTTCATTCAAGTTATTGATTTCACAGAAATTTTAATTAAATTTACTTATTATCTGCACTCACATTCAAAATTTTTCTTAGAAATGTTTTCTTAATTTTTTGTATTTTAATAATATTACTTCTTATATTAACCTTTTTTATGAACATGTATTGGTTTTATAAAAAAAAACTTTTTTATTGTCAGAGCATGCAGCTTTCATCAGAGCGAGCTTTGTAGTAAGAAAGTAGAAATGGGCTAAAATGCAGTTCCATAAATATTAAATTTGCATGTCATGCGAGTTAAATGATCGCAAGCACATACAACAACAACTGAGTGCCTTTGAATTATTTTTTATGTGCAACTCTACCGTTCAACTTTTTAAAACCACGTTTCAATAGAAGTAATTTTTATTTTATGATTAGTTCTATAGTTCAAATCTTAACAACCACTTTGAAAAAATGAAATTATTATTTCTATGCGAGTTGTACAATCTGACAACTACTTTAAAAATTGAAACCCGACAGGAATCACTTTAGCCAAAAAAAACTCGTTGTTAGGAAGACAATTGTCCTGCCACGGCCGGCAAAATGTTAAATCGACGAACATTCAATTTTTTGCTATTGGTTCGAAATGGCTTGTTAATGAATAATTAAAAAGAATAAAATAAACCTCAAAAATTTACGCATTCAATTAAATTTACGCCAACCAAATTAGTACGGTTTATTGAAAAAAAATATTATTATACATAGAATATTAACAGAGATTGGATTTAACAGTACCTTCTCTTACAATAAGACTAACAACAAGTTTTCAAATCTTATCACTAATTACATAATTTTCAGTAACAGTAGCATTTTAGCTTTATTTTACTTCATTTTAACTATGTTGTATTACATAGAAATTTATAACAAATATATACAGCTATGGTATTTTCGCTGGAAATTTAAATTAATCGTTTAACAACTTATCTTAAAAATCAATTAAAATTATTACTAATAAATTTAATTGAACAATATAAATAATTAATTAAATTACTTTAACAAGAGTGAAATATTTCATATTAACTAATTTAGAAATCTCCATTTATTATCTTCAGGCTGTAAAGAAGGAAAGTTTAGCAAAGTACAACATTGTGTTCTTTAAAAATTAGTCATTCGCCTACTAAATGCGTTACATCGCCTTTTAATTTAAGGTTGCATATCGTACACAGCGTTTCTTGACTTTCATACGATATGTAGCACAATCGTAAAGCTCGCCACGGGTTTTGAATATTCTACTTATTGTTTCTACGTTGGTAATGAACCTACTTTTTCGTATCCGGTGTAGTTCTCAGCCCAGTCCATGGTCTTACAAGAAATTTATATTCGCGGAGACCAAAGCGTTCAACCAACGTAGCTTCCACCGTTGCGATGTAAGATGTAGTACAACAAACTATTTCTTTTTAATTCATGCTTTATTTTATTGAACAATTTTTATATATATGTACTAGATAACCCGACAAACCTTGTTTTGCCTCATAAATTATTTCTAGTTTCTAGATAAATTCTAGTGTAGACAAAAAGTAACTTACTTATTATAAGTGTGTAAGTATGTGGTATATGCATGAAATAGGCATAGAGCGCTATGAACGAAAAGGAAAATAAAAATAACAAACGCCAAACAATATTAT